TTATCATTAGAGGTGTCAGTCATCGAGTCATTAAGTTTCCTGCTTTTGTTGGAAACTTATCCGTCTCCATCTTGACACGTCGTCACACAAATGCATGAATCTGTTTTTTTCCCCCAATTAAAAGAGGTTATCAGGGAGACAATGGAGAACAGGAAAGTCTCAAGCAGAATGGACCTTTAGCCTTTCACACCCTTCCCCAGCAGACCCGACCGTCCCTCACGTCATCTGCATTGATAACAGTGGAGAGGGGGGAACTTGAGCGTCTGGGCTGCAAAGAATTTGTTATTCCCTCATCCCCGAAGAATGACAGGTCCCTATTGTTTTCATTCACCAAGTCACCCACAGCTATGACTCCTTTCCGTGTCTGCTTAGGACAGGATATGGTGGAACATTTTCTGCATTTGTTTAGTATTTCTTGCTTCGCTTTTTATCATGTTGTACATTGTTCATCCTCCACAAGGGAGTTACGACCGAGACTTTATGATACCTATATTTAAATGTGGCACTGATTCTACTGTTTCCAGTTTGCTTTATTCATCCCATTTAAAGATGAATGGAATATAACCGGGTAGATCTACCATGATTTCTGGGGATCATGCCAGCTCTTTAGGGCCATATCTAACTAACGAGTATTTTCTTTTATGGTGGAGTACTGCCTCAGCTGAGCCTAACTGAGACAGGAGCTCTCCACAAGACCAGTCCATGTAGCACATGCAGACAGAACCAGCTGTTGCAACTACAAATCACTGTTTGTCTCGTTTTAATGCATGCTTGGAGAAAAAAAAAAGCAGTTTGTGTACTTTTCAGATAATTTACTGATAATAATGATGATTTTTTGGGGTTTGAAACGTGTGGTGAAAAGTTAAACATGTCAAATAATAGACCAGATCACTATGAATGTTTAAACAGAAAATATCTTTGAGAAATGTGTTGCATCCTCTTAACTTTCTGAAGCACCTGATTGAGAGTTAAAAGAGAACTGTCTGTGTTCTCATTTGATGTTTGACAGCGATTTGGAAGCCGCTATAATTTTCATTCTCACAGAGCTGAATGTTTTTGACCCGTTTATACATAGCCCTACTATCATGCAGTTTTTGAAGATAGTTAATACAAGCTCATTTAAAGTTTTGATAGATTTTATTATACAACATCTACTCTAAAGTTACATTGATACATTTTCAGAGTAATGGGTTTCAACAGCATCCCTGTTTCCTTAACTGTGTTTTTTTTTCTTTATCTAATTCCAGCAAAGCTCCAAGACCTCATCTTTGTGATAAAATGACACAGCAACCTCACATGAAACGGATACATTTACTTTGGAAATGAGCCATTTCAGTAGTCAAAACAAGATGTAGTACCAGTGGTTTAGTGTCACTCCTCAGACAGTTGCTTGTCAGAGTTTACAAGTTTTAACAAACTAAATCTGTTTGGAAAATCAAATATAACTGGGAAATATATTTTTAGTCATTAGAAAATGTCTGTAGAGGTTTTTTTGATTGCTGTCTCTTCTTGTCCGACACAATAGGATGGAAAATTTGTGAGCAGAAGTGCAGTTGGAGGCTGTACTGGGAGGTCATTTAGGGAGGAGGGGGAGGGCCCGGACGGTGTGGAAGCCTGCCTCCAGCACGCTTTATAAACATGACCACCAAACATAATTTAAGGTTGTCCTGTGCATACATTAATGCCTGGCTTTTCTACCCAGAACTTTCCCCATCCTCACATTAGAGGAGAGATCTGAAGGAAAAAAGAGGACTAAACATCACACCAGACCTTCAACATCTTACCTTGAATTATCCGTGAGCCTCAGCATCCTCTGTGCAGACAAGATAACACCAGAGCTGAATCTTTGTGTGGTTCTACCTGCAACCATTTCACCTCCACAAGCCATGTACAGTTCCAGCTACTCCCGGGCCAAGTTTGGCCTGGAGGCGAGGGAGCCCCTGCACAAACCCAAAGGGAAGAGCTGCGGCTACTACTTGAGGATCATCTTCTTCTTCTCTTCCCTGATTCAGTCGCTCATTATTGTCAGCCTGGTGCTTTTCCTCGTCTATGGACAGCCAGAAAAATCTGCAGAAGAGATGAGGGTCAAGGTAAGAGTATTATTTTAATCAAAAAGCTTCTCAACTTAATGGTTTTCCTTACATACCTCTGATAAGAATGAGCTCAGGACAAACATTTATGTTGGAATGTACAGTTACTTGTCCACTTCTATCGAGTGTTAATATTAAAGACATTTTCGGATTGTAGGGCTTTATTTTCTGTTACATAGTCTTTTTTTTCCCATCCATCTATCCATTTTCTAGACCAATTATTCCCAACAGGGTCCCTGGGGGGCTTGAGCCTATACCAATAATTTACAATGTCTTTTAAATGTTATAATCATCACAGAGGGCATTCATTTATAAGTTTCACAGTAAAGCGAGTATTGAGAGGTCTGAGACTGAGAGATCCTGACGATGCTTGGTTACTGTTGCTCTGAAGGAGCTGGAGCTGGGCTTCAACAGGCTGAGCGAGAACAACATACAGCTGAGGAAGGAGAAAGCCGAGCTGGGGGCGCAGCTGGGGGCTCGCACGGCTGAAAAAGTTTCTCTGGAGAAAGAGATGACAAAGCTGAAGAATGAGTCCGGCAACACAGAGCAGGAGCTTAGAAAAAAGTTGGTAAGTAAGATGATAAATACGGTCATCGATTATACAAGAGCTGTACAGTTTTGTGCTCACAGTCGTTGTAACAAGTTATAAACCAAGGCTGTGCAGCACATCATTTCAGCCGCAAAATAAGTCAAATGTATTTGCAACTTTTGAAATATTCGTCATTTTCTTTTAGTCAATAAAAATAAATGAATGATTCTATTTTTTTTTTTTTTAAATTGATAGACCAGTTGTGAGAAAAGTTTCTCAGCCCTCCTTACACGGCGTCCGAACCCTCCGATCCCCTCCCTTCCTATTGTCCCCACAAACAGTGAGTACCAAAAATGACATCACAGGAGCAGAAATTCATCTCTGACTTCATGGAAAAATAGCAAGAGAGTATAATAAAACACAATCAATTCCACCCTCATTAATTACTGTGTTGCTGATTTTGGTTTTCCTCATTATCCAGCAGGTGAAATCAAGTCTCTGCAGACCCTCAACACTAATCTTAAAGCTATGATAGATCTGATCAATTCAAATTTCACCCAGACGGTTCAGTATCTGAACCTCGAGAGAGACAACGCCCTCAAAGACAGAGACCTATATCTTGGGGACAACATCAAGCTGCGTAGAGATAACGCCCTTCTAAATAACCAGCTCGAGAACTACAAAAGGTGCCGTCTTCTTTTGGTGCATCAGGCTAAAACCACGAAGAACACGCACAGTGAATGATTGTTCTGACATCTTTTAAACCAGGAAGTGCAAAGAGGATTTCGAACAGTCTCTGAACGGGATCCAGATGGTGACCAAGAATTTCCTTGACCGGATCAACAGCCTGTTTCCCCACCAGATGACCTTCCACCTCACCTGTAAAAGCCAAAGGGAGGAAATGGAGGAGATAAGAAACAACTGTTCAAACCTGTCCAGAGACGTGGAGCACAGATTCCAGCAGTATCTGAACAATGTGGGCAGCCAGGTGTGTGCATATGAAATATTTTGGGACCTGAACAATGAGCATCATAAAACATTTCCTTTTTGGCATCAACAAGGCATGTAATACACAATAATAAAGCAGTGCAGAGGTATAGGCTCAACACAAAGTTAAAACTCTGAACATTTACATTTCACTGCATGCTTTATGAACCTAGTTGTTGTTAGCATTTGTTATCATCCGACACATAAGCTTTTTAAAAAGTGTGAACTCATATTTTCAGATTTCTATACTATTAGTTGATTTAACTGATTCAAATACATTAGCTTTTGTTCCAAATTTTATTGTAAATGTAATACATTTTTCAGATAATGGAGTGAAGTATAAAGCACGAGTTCCCCCTTGAAAGTAGGTTGAGTATAAAATGGCAAACAAGTTTGTGCATATATAATTGAGCACCAGAGTTGATACCACAGTCTAGCCAACCCTCCTCTTTGTACCAAGGAAAATTCCAAAAGAGCAACCTGAATGAGAAGCATGTTTCTCAAGGGAGGACGTCTGGTCACAACGTCCAGATAAATTCAGTTAAAGAGACAGAGCTACTGTGAAACTCAGGGTCAAAGCAGAGGTGATAAACGCGGTATATTCTGCTGATGCAGCAACACTCTGCAGGACAACAAAACAGATGTCCTCCACACATACTTGATTTTTGTATTTTGATATAACCCTCGGTCTGGGGTCAAAAACAACATCCTTTGGTGTCTGCAAAATAAATTAATCATAATTTTTCCCTCAATCATCAGAAGTAATGCCCCTAATGGACCTTTTGTAAGCTTTTTTTTTTATTGTATTCATTGTTTCACATTTAAAAAGACAAACCATAGTTACAGACTGATGTTTAAACTATGTTTAAATGAGTTCATTTCCATGAATGGTTTAATTTAAGAGAATACTTTCTATTTATCTCTACAAGAAGCTTGAGTACAAATACATAAAAAACTATAAAGAAAATCTAAAGAGAAAAACCGAATACAATCATCAGAATACCAAGGTCAATACCAAATACCACAATTAGGTTTAATTGACCAAATCCTCTTTAAAATTGAAGTACTGTAGACAGCACCCCTCCCACTACTTCAACACAGAAAAATTACAAAGGAATCCAGCTTTAGTCCAAATGTCTTGATATATCTTCCTATCAGCAACATTAATCAGTAACACAGTTGATTTAAAAAAAGATTGGCATCTGAATTCAGGGCCTCAAGGATTTATTCTGCACAATTTTTTGTCTTACATCAGCCTCACAGCAGGGTTTCTCACGAATATGAACACTGACAAACATCATACTTATTGTTTTCTGCAATGCCGGCTGATGAGTCACAAAGAATCGAGTGGCATCACATTTTGCTTTGTTTTTTGAGGAAAATCATTGTAATATTTCAGGTGGCAGAGATTCAATCCCTCTCCAGTCGACTGGAGGTTCTGAACACACGTTTGACCAGTGAGCTGCAGCAGTGTGAAAGAAATCACAACGAGATGGTTACAAAGACCACCAACGACTTGAAGCTCAAGCAAAAAAATCATGATGATCAGGTATGTTATATTTCTATAACATGCAAAGCTGGACAATCTCATAAAAAAGCTGATTTATAATATGGTGGCAGGCCCCATGTATTTTAGATTTCATGGAAAAATATTTGTTTTCATTCTTAACAAAATATTTCTTAGATGGAACGATTGCTGATTGAGCAGAACCGACTGAGAGAGCAGAAACAACTGCTAGAGGAGCGGCTGAGCCTAAAAGAGAAAGAGCTTCAGGCTGTGCAGGCAATGCAGCCAAGCAATCAAAAGGTAATAAAAGAAAAGAATGATTGGCACAGATTATTTGAGACAAAAAAAACATGTGTATTTTGAAGCCAAAAAGAGGTCATGTACGGGTAAATCAAACTCAAACACAAAAGACTTGTCCACTTCTGCTTTCACCATCTCGGGAGCAGTGTGTTCGCACAGTGGGCTGTGTGTGAATCTGGCAGGAAAGTGAGGGCTTCCCCATCAGGAAGGATGGAAAAGTGAGATAACAAACGAAAACAAATTTGAGAGAATCATAAGTTCACAAAATGCCATTTTCAAACTCCACTTTGAGAAGAAGTACGAAGACAATCGGAGAAGGCACACACGGCTTGTGTGTGGTTGGTGTTTGACAACACGTCGTTTTCTGTCCCACAGCCTCCTCTGTCCAAAGGTGTGTCCGTGCCTCCAGGTCCACCCCAGGGCAGATAAGACTGCAGCTGACTGACCTCAAAACGGAAGCGTGGCATCTGCGAAATGTAAACGTGAGAGTCCTCTCTGCGCACACACACTCACCTATGGTCTGTGCACACGTCAGTGGTTCCATCAGACCACACGTTTAGCTTCACAGAGCCATTATTGTATGCAGAAACTATATCACTAAATGCAAAAACATTTGCATGCTCACAATGTCTGTGGTCAAGATTCTGTGCGTGTAAGAGGGTGTAAAAATGGCTGGTGATGCTAAACACCTTTATTTCAATTAAGCTGTAAAAAGACAATCAAAGAGCACCACAAATAATAGTGTTGAATGTGTCGATTGTTTTGAATGTGGAAACTGGAATATACTGGAATAATACTGAAACCTGGTAGTTGTGAAAAATATTTATCCCTCACCAACATTTTGAGCATTGTCTCAAGCAAAAGCTAGAAATAGCACAGTCAATCTCAGTACTGAACACTGTAAAAACATTTCTATATACACATGGAACTGTTATGCAATAATAACAATGATCAATGTTTTGTCTTCCAGGAGGACTGAAATAAACTCTCCACCCTGCGTCCTCCGTACCCGTCTGCCCTGATGTACCAAAGTCTGACCAAACCACATCCCCGACACTGTGATCCCCCTTTTTGTACATATTTGCAATGACAGACATCAGCACATCCTGTAAATACTTTGTGACCACATTATTGATACAATCTGGTTGTTCATTAGCTTTTTTTTTTCACTTACAGTCCAAATGTTTTGCACTCAAATCAGCTGTGAAAGGCTTCTGTATCTTTCTGCCCTGATGAATGTAACAATTTCAGGGAGGATGGTGTACATATTTTCTCTTGCGTGTTCCTAATTGCGTTTGAGCAGTGAGAAACACCAGCTCTGAAGCGAACTAATGAAGGGCTCATTGTTAAAGTGCCGTCGGCTTGCAGTAAAATCGTACCAAAGACTCAGGCTGCAGCTGCCATGCTCGTACAATAGCCCCAAGTTTCCTGGTGATTCCTAATGACTGACAATATGCACATCCATTAACACGTGAACGCCATCAATCATGCAGTTATTAGCTGCACACCGTCCCCTGGGTCACGAATAAAAAGGAAGAACTGGGACATAATTAAGGCCGAAAACCCTAGTTTTTATGATGAGCGACTGTTAACTGCGGCTTGCTTTTATGGCATATTTTACAACCATAGTAACTATTATATGGACTGTCAAATTTTACTACTTCCCTTTCCCTACAGAAGCAGAGGTCAGAGTGCACTTGTACTTATGGAGCTGGAAACAGCTGTTGTTCTTTTTTATGATTATTATGGGGCCAGTTTGGTACAGAAGTAGATACTCAAAAACTTTGAAACTATTTTTTTTTTCATTTGAAGGATGGGATGTTTACTTAGCCTGTTTCAGACATTAGTTGGAATGCTGAAATAGTTAAACATCTAATGGAAAGATTTTGTCCTAATTCTACCTGCCTGTGTAAATACTGTGAACTTAATAAAGAGCACTGTTGTAAGTCATTAACGTGTCATACAGCATTTTCAATATCAGTTCTAACTTTGCATTTTTTATCACTTCCTTTCGATAAACATTCTCTCTCTTACCTGTTTACTACACCAAATTACATTTTAAGAACAAGTTAAATATCTATTACAGTTCCTGAAAATATCTATTAATTGAAACACATAAATACAATAGCATCTGTGTGTGAGGTAGTTTATTTGAATCAGACTTTTTATAATGTTTTAGCATTAATTAATCTTTTAAGTTTTTTTTATTTGAATGACTTACAAATGTATTTATATTTTCTTGGTTGACAGTAGTGAGAAATAAACGTTTGAAACCATTGGCTGCACTTTATGATGGCGTGGATTAGATCTAACCTGCTTCAGCGAGCACTGCTCTGCTGTCAAAGGCCACTGCAGACGTATTTAAGCTAAGGGAGTCGAGATAAAGAAAGCAAACAGACGGATTTTACTTGACTCAACTATTTCAAACACTGCATTTAAAAGGAATTCAGTTCTGTATTCTGACTAATGATGCAATATGGTCACAATCTCCCATTCTGTTTCTGAGTAGAACAGATAAAGAACATCCAAAAAAAGAGTATGTTCTTTAAAAGCTGATAGCTGGCATTTTCCGGTTTTAAAATAATCAACATATATTCATTGTATCCTGTTGAATTTGATGCTGTCCATCAGTTCCTGACTTGTGGCCAAACGCATGCCACATGAGCTGTGACTTTTCAGCACCAAAACAACTTCTACTCTTTTCTCATCATCATCAGCTCACGTGTGAGTTACTGCCTATTTTCCAAAAAGAGTTCCTGAGATATGGCACTAACGAGAAAAGGAAGGATTGACAGAAACCGGTAAAAATTATGCCTGCTGCCACTGTTGCACAGGGGGAAAAAGAAAATCACACAAAACAAATAATTGAGCTCCTTCCCTTTTTTTTTAAATACAAACACTCAAGAATAGCCTCTCAGGCTCACTGTACTGATGGATGTGAGTGTTACAGGTGAGCTTGTATGCCCTATGTCAGCAGGAAATCCTTTGTTTAACATGTAGTGTTTGCAATTCCATGTATAGCTCCGGACACTCTCACACTCACCGAGGCACATGGGTAAAGGGTGGAAGTGACTGGGCCCAGCTACGTCAACCTCTCAGCTCAGAACAGCCACAATTCAAAACCAAAGGAAGCAGGCAGGCAGCCTAAAGTCCCCATCATCAATCTACTGTAAGGCAATATGCAACTGGTTCAGTCATGGCACAAGACAAATGAAACAAGAGGTAATAAATAAGACTATTATAAGAGTAAATAACGGATGTATAAATTTTTTCACAATCTTTGTTATCTAAATGTTTTGATCACTTAATCTATTCTTTTGCTAAGAAAAATGATAAATGTTGAACCGGCTCCATCCATCTTTCACAGTTTAGAATCCAAACAGAACATCGGTTTGTTGTGCAAGCATGTGTTTTAAACGGCTTGTTCTGGGTCAACAAAAAAGCACAGCTGGAACCCAACTTTGGAAGCAAATTTATAATTTATAATTTTTTATTATTGATGAGCAAGAAATGCTACATTTGAAATTAAATTAATCTCAGTGAGATGCATTTGCCACGACCGGCATAATAAATTAAGAATGGCATTTCAGGCGGAATCTTTTCAATAGAAGGTTTCAAATAAGGTGTTACAGGCATAAATCCACCAAACACTGGTCCTGTAGAACCCGGCTGATGTCCACCACTACAGTAAACACTGCTCTATTACGCATTAAGCACATCAAAGGCAAAGCTCCAGAGTTCACCACCACAAATCAGTATGACAGCAAGTCCCACTTTTAGCCCAAACGTCCACACTGTGGGTATAAATCAGGGACAACATGAAAGGAGACAAAGGGGCTGACGGAGCAAAACGGAAAGAGGAAAAGCCAGGTAGTGCGGTCTGAGACGGGAGTGTCAGAGGGACGCAGAGGCAGCGGCTACGTCGGCCTGCGGCTGGCCGAATGTCGTCAGAGACTCAGCCAGAGACCAACAGGGGAAGACCAGTGAGCAGTTCAACTAGGAAACATAAATATTTTGATCAAGGTCAGATTGACAAGCGAACAAAGGGCAGGGGGAGAAATGCCTCAAAAAAAAAAAACACCTTTTCCCACACCCTTAAGCAGGGTCTCTCTATTAATTCATTGGATATATTTCGACTGAATGTTAAAGCACGCAGAGTAAAATAAAAACAGAGGCATGGTTTTTTTAATTAACACTTGACAAACAAAAACCAGCACAGATCTAAATATGCAAAAGAGTCTGTGGTTAAAAAGAGAGCATTAAAGAGTTTAATGAGTCGTTGCATTTTGCTGGAAGAACAAATGGTGCCAGAAAAAAAAACAGAAAAAAAAACATCCACTCTACTCTTTTTAGAAAACTGTTTCTTGTCCAAATGTGGAAAAGACGCTGGTAGCTCCCAGTCAGCTTTGTATAAAAGAAGTACAAATAAACTGGGAAGGTTACAAAAAGGAGAAAAAAAGGTTGACATCACTGTTAGGAGAGAGGTGAGAAAGTTAAAAGCAATATGACTGAAATTAGAAACACAGGAGCCACATTTCTGGTACATTCACCATATTTCAGACAGTCACGCTTCTTTTAAGAATTTAACTTTTATTTAGTCAAATTGGTCAAGTGTTTCGTTAGCAAACTGCACCATTTTTCTGAAAGCTGTACACATCCCCTCATTCAAAATGTATGGGGACCTTTGACTGATATTTGACATTTGTACGCATTACAATTAAGTTCATTGGTCGACTGGACTTGTGTCCAAAACACTACAATCTTGCTTAGAAGTTGCTTTGAACGTCAAACACTGATTGTGATCAAACTTTTCAAAACACTTTGGCTGACTTTTGTGAACTTTCAGTGCCAGCAATTCCTTGATTGCTTTTTTTTTTTTTTTTCAAGGAATTGGCCGCCTGAAGCTGTTTTCTTATCCTGATATGGTCCTGATCTGTTTGAGGGGATCTGCAGCTTCAGCTTTTGGAATTTCTAATCAACTGCTTGGTGGAGCAAAATTTTAGTATTGATAAAGTAAGTCTCCTAATAGTAGGAGACGTGAATTTGGACAGAAATGGAGACCACTATATTTTTTACTTTTGATTTTTTTTTGCCTCAGTTAAAAAGATAAGATGATCCCAGGATATTTCCACAAAACAGAAATTTATTATGTGACAGTCCACGTTTTGTCCATGGCAAAAAATAACTAGGTTTTAAAGTTGTTCAAAATAGAGTGACAGCACATTATACGTACCTCCATCACTACTATAAAAAAAAAGCAAAGCACAACAGAAAAACAGACCATTATTCTTTTTTAGGTAGTCCTCCAAGTAACATCCAAACCATCAGTCTTTGACCTTGGAGAGTGTATTAAAAGATTTTGGTTGCTATGTTGTGACCCAAGAGGCCAATATTCCCCATCAAGGACTTTGGAAATCAATTTCAAAGTATGATTCAACACTTGCCAAACACCTGTTCAGTATATTGGGCCTCTGAGGCACCGATATGCACCGCTGTTTCAATGTGATCTCGAAGATCAACAAAAAACACAAAACATTTCTGACTTGGGAGTGGAGGTATTTTCCAGCCAAGAACATGGACTTCGGGTCTTTTACCCTGACTGTGCCTCTCAGACTGGCACAGAGCCGAGGCTTTGTCCGTTTTTTTGTTCCACGCTGTTGGACTGCGGTTCATGATATCTATACTTATTTATTTCCCGATGCAAAAGTCTTTGAAGATGATGTCCAGAATCTCCTCTGCCCCGACCCGTCCGGTAATCCTCCCCAGGCTTGTCAGAGCCAAGCGGACACCGTCAGCTGCCAGAGCGAGGTCGGAGTCCCGGTATCGGGGATACTGTGCCAGAGCGGCCACACACTGCTGAAGGTGGGCCCTGTGGCGGGCCTGGGTCAAGGTAGGGGCGCCAGAGAGGGGATCACCACACCTAGAGAGGATGTTTAGAGTACAGAGTGGACCACAGCTATAAAAAAGTCATAAAATCTTCTGCCTTTCTGGATGAAAACCAGACCAAGAAAAGCAAACATAACATTTTAAATCTATCAGCGAACTGTGTCACTTATTTTTTCAAAGCCGAACAGCCCCCGACTGGACCTGCATGTACAGCAGCCACATAAAAAACTCTAAGTATATGAAGTAGGACTTAATTTTGTCACACTATATGTGCAGTAAACAAGACAAACACGGCAGATGCTCATAAATCAAAGAAACTCACAAAGTCTTGACGCTGCCCTGCAGCGCTGTGAGGAAATCCTTCAGTCCGTCGTTACTCTGACAGGAGATCAGACACACTGGAGGAAGTCCACGAAACCCTCTAAGCTCTCTGTCCAGCTCCTTTCTCTGTGTCTCAGGCAACAGATCAGTTTTATTTAGCACCAGGAGACACCTGCCTGCAAGAAATATTAAGATGAGTAAACAAAGACGAACCGAACTCCAGAAGTCTCTAAAGCCATTTGTGATACCCCGGTCTCTGTCAGTCAATAAAGATCCTCTAGAAAAATTGTACAAATGACAAAAGTTACTCCTTCTAATAACATTTGAAAGATCAGAAAGAAATTGCAACATTTAATCAGGAGAGGCATGAAAAAACAAAAAGTTTACAGCAAAGCACTGACATAATCTCTACAGCTATCGTAAATCATGCGACCACAGGAACAAATATACATACTGAAATTGGTCTCATTTTAAAGTATCATACTGAAATTGGTCTCATTTTAAAGTAAAATGACCCTTATAAATAAATAAGTAAATACCACTACACATCTCAACTACACATTATACACATCTCAAGTTTGCAAACGACCACCTGAATGTGCTAGATAAGGGAGCCAAAAAGTCAACTGTTTTCTCCATTGTGCTTAAAGTTCCTTCTAAAGGCAGTTTACTGAAGGCGTGAGGTAATACCTGTCTCTGGCTGCGTCGGGGAGGACAGCACGCTCCTCAGGTGCTCCAAAAGAAAGTCTGCAGCTTCGTGTACCTCAGAGGGCAGATGAGCAGAATCCACCACCACCAAAGTCAAATCAGCTTGCTGCATCCTGAAGGAAAGAAAACAATCTAACCTTTAACCACAGGTCGACATTTTCACCTAACCTTTGAAAAATATATGTAGTCTTTGGGTACATTTTATGCTTCTATTTGGGAAATACTATTTGAATGTGCTCTAATGCATAATAGATACATATATACAGCACATGAAGAAGATAACTCAGAGCATCGTCTTGTTTTTCACACAAAAAAAGCATACGTCAAAACTAACGAACAAACAACAAAAAAGACAGGCGATGATATATTTCTCAATATGGATTTAATTAGAAATACTGCCGTCTTGGACCCGTCACACTCTAAGTAGCAGCAGGAGTGGCAGCGGATGCTTGTACTTAACACTTCCTTCCTGTAGTGACCCAGGTCACAAGCCTCTGTCCTGCTCCCAGCACACAAAGCTTCCTATAGGACACAGAGTGCCCACCCTTCCTATAGGGCCAAAAAGTCGCCCGAATACTCAAACAAACTGCGAAGGAATCTGAGGGTACTTCTACTGAAAGTTTCTGTAGTCAGGCCTCAAATTGGATTTGACTTTTTCTCACACATCTTAGTTATTTATTGTGCTTTCCCTGCAGTGGTGTGATGTTAATTGTTGTGGCTGATGCTCTCCTCCAGTCAAAAACACAAGCACTTAAGGAAACTGACAGACTTTATAAAGGCTTTAGCTTTAATCCTTAAATAAACAGTCTATGCCACAGACTCTGTGGCATATTTTACTGATTAAATGACAGACTTTGCAGGAAGAATTGTCCATTTTCAAACTTAGAGCTCTTTGTTTGTCATTTCAAAAGTACAACTCAAAGATTTTTCAATCACGTTTCCCTCCGCATTCGAACATCAAACTCGTTATGCAACCAAAGGTATGACAGTATATGAAAAAGTTGTTTTCAATAACATGCTCAAGCCAGTCTACCGTCTGCTGTAAAGCGGTGATGACAAATGCTGGCTATTCTTCCCCGACGTAAACAATGGATGCAGCTGTCAGTGAGCTGCTATTTGCATACTGTAAATCCAGTCTGTCAGCCACACATGAAAAATCTCTTAATTTGAAAGGTGTTTCTTTATTATGCAACCTCCTGAGTGCATTTGTCCAGAGTATTTATAATCACGTCTTAGCAATAATATAAACATTGGTAGTTACTCAGACATTACAGAAGTGACTTATTTCTTCCTTTCTTTGTTTGAACAACATCATTGGTCTCCAGACTAATTTGTTCTCTTATATTACGTGTGCAAATAGTTCTGAAGCAGCAGAGCTACGACTGTTGTGTGAACCATCATCCTATTTCAATCCATTCCAAAATTCTTGAGGATGTTTGTTGGATTTGTTGGATTTCTTAGCCAAAAAAATCTCATCCTTTGCCCTCTCTCTTACCTTTCCCGGGCCCTTCGGACTCCCTCCTGCTCCACCAGGTCTCGGCTGTCTCTAAGGCCCGCTGTGTCGCTCAGAAGCACGGGAAAGCCACCGATGTCCACAGCCGTTTCTACTACATCTCTGGTGGTTCCCGCAATGGGAGACACAATAGCTGCAGGTCTCTGGCCTGGATTTCAAAAAGATGTAGAAGGCGCCATTTTAGATTTTTAGTATTATTCAAACCACCAACACAAACATATAATTTTAATCATTTAAAATGATTATCATTCAACAATATTTAGTCAAAAACAAGAGTTATTACTCAGTTATAACTTAAATAACTTTAGTTCTGAAAAAATGACAGGATGAGAGTTGTGCTGTTCCACTTTGTCCCAAGAGTCCCTCTGACATTATACTGCCAGCTAAGCAAGGATACCAGAATTCTATCTGAAAAGCAACAATTATGTTTGTTGACCTGATAGGAAACCCTCACAAGCTCCTGCCAAACCTTTAGCCCAGAGAGTTTATATAAACTGAAGCTAAATGACTTCAGGAAACAATGTCCTAAAAACATCATACTGTTACAAAAGCACAGAAGTCGCATTAAGCTGGCACCGTTTGGGCACACATGAGCACAAACAGCTACTGATCCCGACAATGTTTCTCATCAACATCTCCTTATGAACCGTTTGCTGCTACACCTTTGCCCTCTTTCCGATAACATGAAGCGGCAATTAATGGTGCTGTAAGGACAAGCTGAACATTATGCAAAACTTCCATTAAAACAACCAAATCTAATGACGGAGATATCATAATGTGATTAAACTAGATTAGACACAGATTATAATGACTAAAAATGAACTCAGATAAGAGGCAACTCAGATTTGTTTGGTTAGAGATGCACAAAATACTAAATAGCGTGTCTGAAACAACAGCAGAAAATACATACAAAATCTTAAAAAAACATTATCAGCAATCATGTGACTCAAATCAAATAACAACTAAACATCTGCCATCTCACTGTTTAAAAGCAGCTCATTAAAAAACCTCTATCAGACAACTATGAAATCCACAAAAGTCCTGTGATCAGAGACTGTTGAGCTGGAACCCTCTGAAACATATACAGTAAATGGGATAAATATGAAAAATGAAATCAATCAATATGGAGACTTTTCTTCAGAATGGGCACCCAAACTTCTGATGGTGGTTTTAAAAGTTTCAAAGTGCTGTGATTAGACGGCAAGCTTTACATAGGAGAGACCGGGCAAAGTTTAAAGTGAATCTCTTTGTTTTGAGCGTGTTTGTGCATGATGCCGTGTGTTTCTTCTGCTCTCACAGAGTTTGTTGAGAAGGCTACTTTTCCCGGCATTGGTTGCTCCTGCGATGACCACCTGGACTCCGCTGCGAAGCCGCTCGCCTCTCCTCTCATCCTGTAGGTGCTGCTCAATCTCTGCTTGGAGGTCGCTTACTGAGCTGTCCACTGTGGAGAGAGACATGGGCCGTAAGACTCTGAGGGGAGCGGGACGCTTTTCAGGCCCTGTTGGGGTTTATCACCCTCTGTGCCATCTGGTTGACACATGGAGCACAGACCTGTGACTAAAGACTTAAAGTATATCAACATATTTCCATTTCTAGGAGGAAAATACTTTTTACCTCAGTGTTTAGTTGGAGTAGAAGTTTGAAAAGGTAACTAGCTGTAGGTCTGACAGGAACTATCATTTTCTGCCAGCTTTGCGAGCTGGGAGAGCCCAGACAGCAGGTAACAGAATCAAGGGGATCACCCTCGTTCAGAAACATAAAGAGATGAAAAGAAAGGAAGGTTGGACATTGACAGAATGGCAGCATGCTGCTGCTCACAGCACTTTTCCTGACAGGTTTGTCTTTGAAGGAAAACTTAAAGCTGTCCCTATGGGCTTCCCTCCACACTTCCTAAGGAAACAGCCATCCGAGCAGCTTCTCGTGTCTAAAGTTTCTCCCCACAGTGCTGCAAACTGGCCTGTTGAGGATCCAAACAGGAAAAGCAGCCGTATTCCTCTGCCCTCAAAAAGACACGGAGCCCACAGATACCCTCAGCTCGGTCTGAGGCCCAGGGGATGACTGTCCTGTTTTTGTTTTTTCGACACAGATGTCAAAGTGCACGCATACCTTGGTCTAACACCCCATCCTCAATGAGCTCATCCTCGCTGAAGTCTATGAAGGCCTCGACATGTGCCAGACTCTGAAACACAAACGGGGCAAAAGGTGATCCTTAAAAAAGATTAGCTAATTCATGAGCAGAGACAAAAACATAAACATGTTTTCTTTCAATCAAAGATAAAAAAATCTCGACACAAACAAAATGAGAAAGAAATAACTGACTAATTTGACATATAAATAGTGCAAATAAATTTTCACATATCGTATGTATGAATTATTTTTAAACTATGGGGAAGTATCAGCTGTATTTAAAGCCTTACAGTATTTTCACCCAGTAGCACGTGTGCAACATTCATCTTAATTTAGACTACGGGGTGAAAAAACGCTACTCAAAATCCGCCACATCACTGATCAGTATCTTTCACTAACCCTGCGGAACATAAATACAATAGTAGTGCTGCTGCACGAAAACAGGAAGCATCAGATTCCAAAACGTTATCCTATTCATACATTTGGAAAAGGAATTGTAAAAAAAGAAACAAGTGGAAGTGTTTGGGTGTCACATGGAGATTTGACCCCTGCCATCACACAGATGGATTATATCTCATAAGTTCTCAGAAATCAGGGTGAAAGAAAAAAAGCTCAGATGTGGTGCCACCAGTGGAGGAGGGTTCAGCAGCGACTGAGGCTTTCACTGCGGTCACTGACCTGCTCTGTTTTGATTCTGAAGTACAAGACTGCACAGGTGACCACCGACTGTGTACTGAAATGTCACACACCAACATACAAAGTGGGCATTTGCTGAAATAAACAACACTCATATTTCAACCATTACAAGTTTAACTGCAAAAAGTATTTGAACAAGCATTAATACTACACGGAGTGCTCTGCACAAAGGTAGATATGAGCTATTTTCACAAATGGCTTGTCAATAACTGACGACTTATTCCTAAAGGATAAACTGAACTATGTGATCATTTATATCCACCGTCTACCGTCTTTCCCTACTGAAAAATATCAAAGTTCACACACTGGTTTTCATTTAAAGTTTGTGTGTACTCTGCAAGTGATGGAGATCAGATAATGCGTATGATGCGTATTTTAGAGAGTTGAGGAATTTATCTACTTTCAGCAATTGGGCGACGTGACAAATATACCTCAGTGTGTATCAATGGCCTTTCAACCTCACACAAACTTTTACTCACAAAAAAATGTTAACATCAGTTTTACCATGGAACCACTACCCCATAAGTTGCCTTAGAAAAAAGAGAAAATTACTACTCTACAGATGTCGCAGTGTAGCTGGGACTCTTTGTCATAAAAACAACTTAAAGCTGAATAGAATAAATAAAAAAACAAGATATACTGTTAGAACTCCATAGGTTAAAATATATATGTAGAATTTGTCAGTTAACAGAGACTCTTTACAAACAAATCTAAGGAATAAACACCTCATCAAAGTTTTAAAGCAAAGGAGTCTCAGTTGTGATGCAGAGAGATCAGAAAGACAAATAATGCTGTTGTGCTTTATGACTTTAAGTCTTTTGCTGCAACAGTTCAAACTTAATATTTATAACTGCTTGTAAAATAGATGGATACTAATACATATGCTAATATCCAATTGAGAACAACGAACTGACGTTTAAATCTCAGGAAACCTATTTGCTCTAAAATGAATGCATTTACAATTTCTAATAGTTTTGTGCCTCACTAAATAAATAAGTAAGCAGTAGCAATATCATGTCATGTGTGTAGAGACAACTATTTTGATTCTCCGCACAGAACCTAAACACACGTACTACACGTTCTGCAGCTGCATGAAAACAGGAAGTCTCTGATTCCTTTAAAAGCAGCTGCGGAGACACAAAAACGGAACAAAAGCATTGTGTGGGAGAGAAACCACTGAGGTCTGACCTGCAGCTCAATACAGACAGGTTCTTTCCAAAATCTCTTCAGGGAAAACTCCAGGAATACAGCTTGTTTCTGCTTTTCAGCCCAGAAGGAAATAAACAGAATGTTGTTTTTAACAGAAAATCTAAAGGCCAGCTTTACAAATAACAAAATCGGTCAAATAAGAAAACAGTAACATAAAAGTGGTGACATAGAGTGCTTCCAATTGGGTGCTTCTTCAGCTCCACTGCGATAAAAGCAGGTGCAGGAGGTCCTTCCGGCCCACTGAAAAAGACTTAATACTTCTTCTGAGCAGCGAGGCTGCAGAGCTTAAAGCAGTTCACGTACTACATTCACCTTAGACTGGTAGAAACTTAGGGTTTGATACTTTGTGTTTACGTGAGCCAGGTGACCAGAGAAAGGCTAAAGATGTCAATAAGTCCAAATGGGACCAATACCAAAAAATGATGGTGACACTTTCAGAGAAATTCCTCCTTACAGAAAAAATGGAAGATTTGGCTAAATTCAAAACAGTGCAAAACAACATGTTATAAAAAGTTTTTGTCTAAAAAAAATCTTGTTTATTTTTTTTCTCTCTCATTTGTTTTACATGCTGGTAGTCATCATGTGCATAACGATGGAACTTTTCAAAGTAACTATTCAGAGACTGTGTTGATTACCATGTACAAAATGTGCTTTTACACTGTTTTAATGTGCAAGGTGTAGCTTAAGAAAACAGCCAATCTACCACAATCCATCTGTACCTCTTTGTTTCCGTTTTGGCTCAAGCCCACTCAGGAGTCCATACTGTTAAGGCTGTGTGTTTATCAGTAGCAGATAAGGCAGAGGTTGACACTCTTTGCCTCTAGCCCTTGTGTTTCCTATTTGAGCTGATATGCATTTTCTCTCTAGTGAAAAACTATTAATTTTAAACCAATATAGCCTTCACTACACTGAACTTGCAGAACTGTTCACTTTTGTTTCTTTTTCCAGCCAGGTTTTTTTCTTCTGTCTATGGTTCTCTGACTTACACAGCCCACGTGTACGGGGGTGGAGCCACTCTCAGGGTGATCATGACCGAACATTATCAGATTAAACATTCTACCTTTGTCTCAATTTCACATTGTCAAAATCGTGCTACTCCTTTATAGATTCTTTTATGAAACAAATCTGGTTTCAGATTGGAAACAAACCGGTGCGGTGCAAACTCGTTTCTGCATCCTGCTACCAGCAGGACACATACCCGTTTCAATCTGCGGCTCCAGTCTTGATAGAGATGTCCCAACTCTCCTGACATCTGTCTCAGAGCTTGTCTCCGCTGGGCCTCTGTCTCTGCGTGGATCAGATCGCCAAGTCCTTCCACCTTTGAGAGGATATCAGATTTTTTCATTTTAGAACAATCTGCATTTCACAGACAGTCCGGCTGTTGCAATCTAATTTCAATTTTCAGTAACAAACTTAAAAAGAAACCTTTGTCATTCATAGTTGCTCTGATCTCCAGATTAAATAACATGGTTTCAGAGCCATAATGCTTTAGGCAAAGTATTGCTGCTTATTCAACCGAACTAAGGTAACTTCAGATAAATTACAGTTCATAGTATCACTTAATTACATTGACAGAAAATAAAAGTAATAATTTTCAGATTTAAATCATTTCACCAGGGTATCATTTTTATGGCGATTTTTTAGTTTTATCAAAAAAGCTAAATGCTCTGTGCAAACTAATAATTAAAGCAGACAATGTTAATACATAAAACAGCATGATTCCAAGCCTTACAATTGCCACATCTACCAGGGACTAGTAGCTGCACGTCAAAGAGCAAACAAAATGATCAAATTCAAGTTTTTACTTCTTGCATTTGGAAATCGCTTTTCAATTTAAACCCTGTTAATTCCATATCAACCTTGTAGACTGGCACAAAGCTAAAGAGGTCACGACCCACGCTCCTCTTGACCTGCCTCAGTTAGACCCAGCTTCCCTGCTTGAAAAGCCCTCCGCGTGAACTCTCCAGCTTCAGCAGGCCTCATGCCAGGCACGCTTCCTGAAAAACATATGCACAAACAAAAATGAACATGAACAAATGGAAAGAAATATGCATGCCGTATGCACACACACAGTACGATAAAACGCAGGGGGTAACTATGCTCATGATAAGCTTATCATGAGCATAGGCTGCTTATTGAGCTGCAAACCTTTTCATTTTCTCTTGAAAAATCGAACAAATATTTCTAAATACCGTATATTGTACAGCTGTGGCATGTCAAATCGAAAAAACTGTCCTGATTTAAAAAAAACATTAAAACTTATGATGCATCCAGTCACACATCCTAAGGTTTTGTTGACCAACATAATGCTGCCCTCTGGAGGGCCAAAAGGAGAACTGCAGGGTTAATGTCTAAATCACAGATTGTCATAGATATATTTCACACACCACGGGGACATCTTATATTGTGTGTTATATTTTATTATAGAAGTTGTTTAACCTTGAATTTTACTTAAAACAGCATCAGTGTGTTACCTAGAGCTTGTAGGACAGCAGCAATAACAGCAGAACCACCGTGGATGTGGAACTCCACACTGTCTTCTCCTGTAAAGCTGTGAGGAGCTGATGAAAAGAAAAAGTAGGGCTTTATATTCTTGTCCAGTTTACTTCTGTTTTGCACCCTTTGGCTAAGATTGAAGTACTTTCTCTTCCGAGTAGTACTTGTCGATTACAATAACTAGTATTGCTAATCAAAACAATACATAAGATTAAGCGGATTTTCTGGGATAGTAGCTCATAATGTAGTGAAACAGACATGTTCAAAATATGTTGAGTATTACAGATGAGATTGAACGTCATCTATTTTTATTCTGAATGAAACGCAGATGCAGCATTAATTCATTTGAGAGCAGTGTTTCATCATTAGATCGTTTTTTTCTTTCTTTCACTCAAAAATCTGAATATATTCACCTAGGAATTGTTTTAATCTATGTATTTTCCTTAGGGGATGCATTTTTGTTGTGAGAAGAAATTAATTAAAATAAACTACAAGGAATTGTGTAATCTTTTTGAAAGATTGCAAAAAACTGAAGTAGTGAGGTAGATGTGCTTCAGGACAGCACACCTGGGAACCAAAGCACAAGTCCACGGTCCAGCACTTCCCCTGAGCGGGGGTCCGTGATGCTTCGCAACAGAGCGGCTCTCGGTGGAGGCAGATGTGTGTGTCGTGCCATACACCTCAGTGCTGTGGCCGAGGCAGGGCCACTGACACGTACCACGGCCACCCCACACCTGCCGTGACCTGAGGACAACGCGAAAATGGTGTCAGCATCCGCCAGTCCAGCAGGGACTCCATCACAGAGCAGTCGATGGGGACAGCTGATTCCTCTGGTGGCAAGAAATTGAAGGTTAAACTCGTTAGAAAAGTAAGACGACATTTAAATACTTGACTATGTTGAAAGTCTATTCTCTTTTGACATAGACTGAAATGTATTTAAATCAGGGTGGTGGATTTAAATGTAATCTTTAATTCAATTTAAAAACCAGTTGAAAAATAATGAGACATCTTAGAATATGACAACACAGTGAAATAAGAAATAAGAAGCAACACACGTTTTCACTGATCACTGATGTCCACAAAAATATTTCTTCATTCGTATATTTTTTAAAGTACACCACTGGTTGGTATGTACTCATCTATGGAAATGAGGGTAAATAAAATTAGAACGAACCTTGCCCTGAATGTTAGGGATGCAGCTCTCCGTATCCCACAAAAAATGGAAGGAAGTGGAAGCATATTTACACGATACTACACCTAAATCTAATTTATTTGCTTTGAGACTGCAACATCAATACCTGCTGCGGTCACACCCGGAACATTTTCAGTACATGTTCCCTTGTCTGTTACGGGCCAGATATCCTGGGTAAGCAATGCCAGCTGTTACATGATGACAATCCATAGTTTCGGACTAAACTGTCATTCTGTTGTGACTTCTTAAATAACTCACACCGCTCGTGTCTTCTCTACTGTTTGGTATGTTGTTGCTCCCCCTACTGTGCGGATTGGTTTATATTATCAACACAGATATTATGTTCTAAAGTTTCATTTGTTCAAAGTCTGTCACTCTAAACTACGTTCCGCCTACTGTGCGTTGCATTATCTGGTCCGTATGTGTACATGGTAACAATGAATGGTTCCTATGTAAACAAATATAAAGTTTGCTCTAAAATGTTTGTTTATGTACAAATTAACACATACATCGTATAAATTGTTCAAAGTGTTGAAAAATATTGTGCACTGTAGAATTTGGAAGCAGCAACACTTTAAATAACTATGTATAATTTGATTTAACTTCTAAGTGTTTGCTTGTAGATAAGCCACATCCTAGAAATCTCAATTTACCTGAAAGTGAAGCCCTTTTTATTTAAAGATTTGTCTGCTGTTCTATAGTTTCTTCATCAAAAATTAGATGATGTAGATTCCTTCTAATTAAATTTTTAGACATTTTTTCAATCATCATGAACTGTCATGTCATTATGTTACAGGCAGACATGACTTTAAAAAAAACAAAAAAAACATCTGCTTTATTCCATAAAGGATAAATTGAAATTCTTTCTGGCTTTTCTTTTTTTAAAACTCTTAAAGTTTTGATAGGTGGTGAGAACAATCTTGCACTTCTTGAAACAATTTTGAAGCAATATATGAGAGAAAGTGTGAAAAGAGAAGAACATTTGTAACATTGGCATTGGTTGGTGGAAGGTAATAAAGAAATTAATAGATATTTTTATTCATATTGACACAGATTGTAAAGTATTTCAAATGTTAAGGACAAAAACTTGTTCTGTTTGGTATGTATACTATCCTTATTCTCTTGTCCTAAAAATAACAGTGCTGTGATCATCTCACCTCCACACTTTCCAACCATGCAAATGGCAGAACACGCGTGCATTGATGTGTGTGTGTGCGTGTGTGTGTGAGACTGTGTGTGTGTGTGCCCCACTGCAGTGCCTTGCAGCTGTCAACCTGGAGGCTGGTGAGTAAGCACAATTTCTGCTCGCACATGAAGTGCTCCTGAGCTGTGAGCCATACGAGGGGGAGGGCTGCCAACCTGCTTGTGCAGCTTCACAGAGAAAGACGACATCCAGGTGGGAGGGCCAAGACAAGAGCCTGAGTACACACCAGGCAGGCACGGCCCAAGAGCTGGGAGCAATCTTTAACCTGGGACCTCAATAATTTATAGACTGCTCTGTGTGTGTGTACAAAGCATGGCTGCTGCCGCCTCGAAGCTGTTGAGTACTAACAATACTCTGGCCTGCAAACCGGACCATGGATCTGATTACACAAGATAAATTCCTTGTCAATGACAGTTATGTTCTCACGCGTGCACAACTTAACTCCTCCCTGTAAATCTGCACGTTAACAATACAGGATCATCTGGCTCCATCTGAAATAAATGTTATGAATTTGTCTAAGGTGTTGGCCATCTTTTATTGGAAGCACACAACATGGCCTTTATGTTTATATTATATTGATGTACGGTTTGATTGACAAGTGACATTATGTGTAAAACAAACAGTACACACCTGCTGTATGCACAGGGGAGTCTAAGTTTGCCTGAAGAGTGACATAACCTGTACCGATACCTGTGCATCTCTGAAATTTTAATATATGAGGATATTTTTGCATTGATAAATAAATAATACACTTTTAAATCTTCCTGGACAAGGATGGTGCAGTCCAGTCCGGAGGAGCAAGAGTCCCAGATGAGCAAAAGCACCTGCTGTACTGCAGATATTACCCGTCTCCCTGAGAGAATTTCCACAGTTACCAACTAAATTCAAGGTGAGTATGACAATGGAAAAAGTAAAACGCAGATTTTTTAATCATCTGAATTTTCATATTGCCACATAAATGAGTAGGCCCTGCTTTTGAAGTGTTTTATTTCAGCTTTGCATGATGCAGCCAAGTATAATCTATTTTTGGGATCAACCTGACCACTTGCAGAGGTCAAGGAGAGATGGGAATTCAAGGCTATACATAGGGATGTACAATTAAATGTTGACGGAGTTTGGGGGGGTTGTGGTCACAACTATATGACACAATGGAATTCTGCGTGGAGCTATTCTTCATTGAGCTTCTCCGTGGGTTGCTACTATCTAGGACATAACTCCAGCTTCAGGTTAGCCTTCTATTGTTACACGTTGAGGTGAAGGCGTCTGTCATCCAGCCCCTCCTTCGCCCTGACGCTCTTTGTCCCTCCTCCCGTCGTCGCTGGAGCGCCTTCCCATCCAGCCGCGCATCCTTCCCCCGGTGTACCACCGGGATGATCCGGCGCTGCGCCGACAACCTTCGCTTCACTTTCACACTCATTTAACCCCTTCCCCTCGGACCCCCCGCCGGCCACCCTGCTACACCCATGCTTTGCCCTCCTCCTGAGATGCGATACCGCTTCACGAATAGCCGGAGAATATCTTCCTACTGCGTCGCTCCTCGCTGATAGAGAGCATGCCCGACACGGGGACGGTGGCGGCGGCAGGCACCGCGGCGGCGGCGGCAGGGGCCGCCGGTGGTGGTGCGTCCACCTCCGGCGAAGGCTCCGACGGCTCCCGGCACCGACACCGGTCCCAGCAGGGAGACGCCGAGAGGCCGGACCCGGGCGCTGCCCCTCAACAAAGCTCCTCCGGAGTCCTGGGTGAGTGGAGAGGGGCTCTTAAGCATGGGACGATGCAGGGGGGTTGTTTTTTTTTTTTTTTTTTTTTTAACCGTCGGAGGAGAGGACAGGTGGACGTGATTGTTAGGAAACGAGGCTCGCGCGCGCACCGTCACCACCTCGCGGCGCAGCTCCTTTGTCTCCACGAGGGCGTCCTTAAATGTTCAATTTCCCACCGTCCAGACCCGTGAATAATGTCTCTGACTCGTGTTGCATATTTCTAGGCGGCGGCAATTTTCAGAAATGCTGGTATTGTAGCACCTGCTCTTAAAGATGGCTTCACTGGGCGCATCCCCGGCTGTGTGTTTGCCTTACTGTTTTACTCGGTGGCCACTTAGCCTGTCCCCCCCTGTCCCAGGCTCATTGTCACAGTGACTGGTACTCTTGTGGGCTGTGAAGTATCCCAAAAGGGCAACTATTTTCATATGACCTGCTGCTAGTATCTTTTTATTTATTTATCTGAATGAGTTCCAGATTTGTCCATAATTCCTCTTGGTAAACAAATGTCAGCCATGGGTCTCTGAACTATTATACAGTGACAAGGCTGCTAACAGGCCATGTAATTGTAGTTTTCAGGCAATTTGATTGAGAGCAGGTGCATCTTTTGTTATTTCAATGAGGTCCACGCCAACTGCCTGCGTGCCTCCTTTATAACTGCTAAAATGATGATACTTATCTCTATGTAAAGCCCTCTGGGCATGCTTTCTATTTACACTCCATGACATGCAACAGCGGATTTAATTAGGCCATAGCTGTTTCTTTGCAAGATTTCCAAACGAGGCTATTTTTGGCTCAGACCACAATATTAGACCACAATATCCTGTAGAGAGCCTCAGCTGCCGAGCAGGATTGTTTTCCTGCGCGCGGGGTGCAGAGGCAGCCTCTGTGCTGAGGTCCTGGCTGTACTGCTGCAGAGTGATGCAGTGGAGCAGTGGGCCGTCAGCACATGACCGCTGCTTTTTCCACACTTGGTCGAAGTAACCTGAGCAGGCACGAGCCGACCGGGAGAGCAGACTGATGTCATCCTCCGAAGAGGGTCAGAGACGCGTCGGAGGGTCATTGGAGCAAAGATTAGCTCAATTTTACGGTGACTGCATTAGCTGAAGGCAGCAGTGGGGCAAAAAAAAAAGAACTGGGAGTTTGGAGATGTGAAGATTTGAGGCAAGAATAAATATTTATTAACCCATGAATTCACGGGTGTGAAGTAGATGCTCTAAACTACATGAATCCTCAATGCCTTTTTCGTTGCTTTTTGTAAGGGATATGCATTCAACACCGAAGAACTTTATTTGACTTTGTGTTTTTTGTTTTTTAATCTTGGAATAAATGTTTGTTGGATGTAAAGTAAGAAGAGTGGCTGCATGAGCTTAAGCGTAAAAGTAGATGGAATCCATTTTTTACTAAAGACTGTAGTCATTTTGAAAATCACATTCTTGTTTCTGTAAATTGAATGTTAGATCAATATTCTTTAAATGTTAGCTAAAAAAAAAAGGATTATGCTACAAATGGAAACAAGAAGATGTGGAGACAGTGTGGGTTGATCCACAGAGGAAGGATGAAGATCATGTCTCCAAACCCTGCAAATGTTGTTCTGTGAAGTGGACTGACTGAGGTTTAACACTAAGGTGGCAGCATGTCTCCATAAGCAGATCTTGCTGTTGGGAAAGAGACAAATGTCAGGTGATGAATGCAGATGCTGCTTTCAAATCTTGTTGACTCTGACTGCATCAGTTAGAGTCAACATTTCCTTCACAGATGTACAAATTACTTATGCTGGCTCTGGGACTGTGTGCTAACTAGAAGTTGGATGGACCCTTTTCCCTCTGTAATCAGGTGGATGCAATACCCCTGATTGACTTTTCCTGCTATTTGTTTTCCTGACATGACAATTTATCTTTTTGCTTACACTGTGAAATGAATTGTTTTTCCACCTTTGACACGTTGCACGTCCCTGTGTTTATCCAAATGAATGAGGGTTTTAAGTGATTTCTAATGGAATCAGCTGTCTCAATGAATTTGTTCACATTTTGCACAGAAACAAAAATATGACTGATTGTTATATAATGCGCTATACTAAAGGAATTATATTAGTGTAATCATTAATGGTGAGGAATCTACTCCCTTCATTGATTCGCAGTTTATGAAAAGTGGGACCATCTGCGTCGTATCAAATTACTGTTTACTCTCACAGTAAATATGAAAACTGCAGAAATCGGAACAATTTACAAAGAACGCGTCCCAAACCACCAAAACCTCTTCCAGAAATAGGGATCAAAGGTATAGCTCAAATGTTAACACCAGGCACGTCCATTCAGCGTGAAAGCATCATGTTCCCGCTTGCTCGGGTTATGAGCCAGAGGTTCGAGGACTTCAGGGGGATTCGCCATGATATCCCAAAACTGCCCTTACTGATGTCAGTGTCGGTTACCCAGCACAGTGGCACGGCAGGCAGGGTGACTTCTCCACACAGCTGAGACTTCGGTGGTAGTCTGGGAGGATTTTCTTCTCTGGAGGCTTGGATCTTGAACAGTCTCCATGCCTCCTCCATATTTTTCTAATCCCTCCACTCAAGACTGCGGCGACTTTGATCCTCTCAGCCGTCTTCCTTTGCGGCTCCAACACACACGGGCTTGCGTTTCCAGGATTAATTAAGTGCCTGTCATTAGAAAATGCAATGTAAAAGTCTCACCAATTAGAACATGTTACCTCTGAGGCCAACGCTGATACGATTCTGTGTTGAAGAAATTGGGTCATGTATTTGCTGGTTGCTCAATCAGCCAACACGGTTGTGTGGGGCCTACAGTGATGTTCATTATGGCTTTGTAGAGAGATGCTGCATTCCTGGGTTGGTTTGAGGACACCTTATTTTTCTAGCTTTTGTCTTTTTGCATGTTTCAAGTGAGTTCTTTCTCAGTTACACGTCTGTCATCTGGACATGTCGGCGTACCCCTAATTACTGCATTTTCGCCTCAGATACAAGAACTCTTCATATTAGATAATAATTCAAATTAGTAGTTGACTGACCATGTCAAAAGATTCAGGAATTAAAATGTATATCTCTGATTACAGGTCAGACAGTGTGGACTTCCTGTGGGATTTTGCTCCGTACTTTTATCTTAACGTAGATTTTCTATGACGTGCAGAGCAGATGGCATATTTTGCATTCAGTGGGTCTAAAGCTGAAGCATGAAACCCCTTTTCTCACCCTGGTTCGTATGTGAAAGCACATGACCTTTCTGAGGCATATTTTTAAGGTATATTTTCCTCCATGTAAATTTATTTCAGTTCATCCTTGATTCCCGGCATTAATAAATGCTCTTTGCAGTCTGCAAAATGCATGAGGAGGAGTATTAAGCAGGGATCTGCACTTTGGCTGGGGAGCTGCCCTCGCTCCTGTCCTGCTCTCTCTGCCTCCTAAGTGAGCCGAATACCTCGGCTTTGCGTCAGACAGATTTAGTCGGGTTCAGTGTCACACAGATTTCTTTAAATACGGCATTGAGAGGGCTGCATTGAGAGGTAAAAGCGTCACTCCGAACTTCCTAAAAGAAGGGCTGTTTCTGGCTGCAGCAGGCAGTCGGAGCCGCTGGTTTGTGCCCTCCCACTGCTTCATAAATGAAGGGGCTGATGAATGATATGCACTATGATATAATGCCAGCAGTGTGTTGTGCCTAATGACTCTCAGCTTAATGCCTCCCCCTGCATCTGCTTCTTTGCCTATCTCACAGTTATTCATTACATTATCAACAGATACATTTCCTCTTCTTCCTCTCTTCTCCCTTTTTGAGTAAATTCTGAAGAGCACATTCTCCGTCTTAGAAGCCGAGGGAAATTGCATCTCCGTGAGATGACCTTGCTGCCGGTCATATTTAAGCTTTATTACCCTCATCTCAGAGGTCGAACACAGATGAATTATGTTGGTTGCTCTGTGGGTCAAAATATCTCAGCCTTGCATTTTTTTTTTTAAATTAGTATGTTCACATTTATAAAAAAGTATGCACATCTATCAAAAGCAGCCCAACTTCATATAGAGATCATTACAGTGCCAAAGGGCTGTAACAGCAGTTTTTTAATGAGCAGTCATGCTATGTTTGAGGGTGTAATGGGCGTGTCTGTCTATCTTAAGCTGAACTATCTGTCCTGAAACGGAAGACTCATCGCTGTAGCAAAAAATTGTATTTGTATCGGCGCTCGTCTGACCCCGTTAGGCGTGTCGTGTCCAGGCCACGATCTGACCAATCCAGATTAATTATATCCTCTTCATCAATGTCAAAAACCTGTGTCTCCCGAATCAGTTACAGTTGTCCAGTCACAGAAGGCTGTCGAGTCCATTTTCAGGACTCAAGAAACCTTTCCACCTGGAACTTGTTAGAAAAGGGGTTCTCAGGGGGAGATTTTTCCAGATTTTTAGCTGCTAAAAGTGTGGCCTGTACTCGGAAACGGCAGTTAAACTACGTCTCTCCAACCTCGACTGATACAGGTAGTTATTCATTTAGAGTTTTCCCATCTGTGTTGCTCATTCTGAAGCTCAACCTGACACAAAGTTTCAATATTAAAATACATTCAGGGTGTATTTGACAAGTTGATGAACAAATGGGGAGATGAAAACACCTTTTTTATGGATATGATTTTACTTTTACAATTTACATGGTGAGTTTTTGTT